ACCCATTTTCAATGGGTTCAGGGTATACAAAAACTAGTTTCCTCAGTAGGGACGAACTCGCAACATACCGCACTACTTGCAGCCGCCTCTACCCAACAATAAAACCAATAATTGAATCTTAATTAGTAAAAAACGAATAAAAATAGCAGTACAGAAAACAATACAATCGCAATTCCAATGTTGTTGATAGAATTAAAAGTAGACGCGCATGAATGTGTGTGTGTACATGTATACAGATTTTCTTGGAAGTTGCGCTTGCTGCCGCTGATAAAAGGAAAGTCAAAACACGTTTTCTTTAATAATTGTGTTTCTTAAACGCTCTTGATGAAATTTTCTACAGTATATCTTGGAAACGGAGTAAGTTATCGATTATCGGACACAAATTCGTACTGCGCATGGACTAGGAGGCCCTACAGCTAAAATTCCAAGTCTCTAATTCTTATAGGTTCTGAGATCCTTTGCGCTCATATATACGGACAGACGCACGGACGGACGAAGAGACGGACTGTCGGAGAGACGGACGGACGGACGGAGAGACATGGCTAGATCGACTCGGATGTTGATGCTGATCAAGAATATATATACTTTATGGGGTCGGAGAAGCATCCTTCTGGCTGTGACATACATTTGCACAAATACATTATACCCTTTTTACCCATTTTCAATGGGTTCAGGGTATAAAAAATGTGTGATAGCTATAAAATGAAAGATGCTTGATCTATATATACTATTCAAGAAGCCACATTTCGTTATTGTAGCTCTGAAAACATAAGAGATTTTCTCAAAAAACAGGATGTCGTACCGAGTCGTATCAATTGCTTGGAAACGCACCAGGCGGACCTACGTTTAAACTTTAAAATCTCTAGCTCTTATAGGTTTTAAGATTCCAGCGTTCATACATAGACGGTCGGACACACGGACAGACGAACATGGCTAGCTCGACTCGGGTATTGATGCAGATTAAGAATATATATATTTTATGGGGTCGGTAATGCAACCTCTTTTTCTGTCACAAATTCATTATACCCTCTTTACCCAATTTCACTGCAGAAAAGGCACAAGCCCCGTCTATAGAAGCAGCTAATTCAAAACGCAATCACACTATGTATAAACATAAATGCATACATACAAAGCACATGAATTAACGCGCGCAATTCAATCGTCACACAGTGATTATACTGTTTGTTAGATTGAAATGGTCGGAGGGGAGGGGCTATTTCAAAACACCAGCTGTTAGAGTGGCATTCACACAAACACGATTCCTAATGCGAATCTATCACACACTTGCACATGCACATACACGCTAAATATTAACGGCCGAAAACTATTTTTATCGATAATGTCCTGTTTTTATTAAAATGATTACGAATCACTGCACACAATTTATTGTCAACAGCTCTGAACCGTCTAAAATTGTTTATTTTTTCAAAAATCTTTATAAAATCAGTAAAAAAGTCGGCAAGGGAAAATCAACAACACTTAAAAGTCTATGGTGTGATGGCAACCGCAAGCTACAGACTAACTGGGTCTTCTTTCAAAGGACAAACGAAATAAGATGACTACAACAACAGCGGTACCTCTGAGGACATAAGGACTACCAAAGGTATATAAGAAAGGATCACTGAGGCCAATATGTTCCTCTATCGAATCACCATCTTAAGAACTGTGCAAATACATTGAAAAAATATTAATAAATCTGACAATGGACTCTAGGTACAACATTAAGAACGCACTAGCTTTTAAAGACAAAGTGGACAATTCCCATATTAGGAAAGACGAATCATTAGTATCCTTTGACGTAGTATCTTAGTTTCGCAACAAATTAGAAGGATTAGATGGATCAACTATGCCTCAACAACTATTTATAGACATTGAGAAATTGTGTATTCAAGAAATCCGATATTTTAAATACAAAGACAAGATATGCAAACAACTAAAAGGAAGGCCAATGGGTTCTCCGGCCTCTCCAGTAATCGCAGACATAATAATGGAGGAACTGTTCGACAGCGTTACTGATGAGTTGACAACAAAACCAAGATTTTTAACGAAATATATAGTTGACCTTTCTGCATTAACGGACAAAATATAAGTGCATAACATTCTAAAAGAATTGAATTTTTTTCACAATCACATCAAATTTACAACTGAATTAGAAAAAGACGGGAAAATTCCATTTATAAACTCTATATTACGCAGCAGTTGACAACACACACAAAATTAAGTGGTATAAGAAACCCATAGCCTCCGGACGAATACTCGATTTTAATTCAAACCACCCAAAAAGTATGTTTATAAATACGGCACTATGTTGTATGAAAAGAATGATTAACATATCGGACACCATATACCACAAAGTAATTGGAAATAAAATAAAAAAACTTTTGACGAAAAATTATTACCCGCATAATGTAATTAAAACAACATTAAAAAGACAACAAATCAGAACAGAAAAGCCAACAGAACCTACCAAAATACACAAATCCCTATTATCCATATGTATCACGACTATCAGAATGCCTCACGAGCTCAGACTGCTACAACAAACAAGAATCAAAAGTAGCACGCAAATCTACGAATACGTAACAAAAATTCTTCAACAAGATAAAGTCAACAAGTAAGAGGTTCTAGTCGGGAGCTCCCGACTAGGGGATACCCTGAACCTTCTTCTTCCAACACCAAATGCAGCTCGCGCTACGCGCTAGTTTGCTTTAGTAGTTATAAAGAAAAATGAAAAAAAAAAATTGTTCCCTTGACAGGGTTCGAACTCGCACTAACCGCACCACTTACCGCTACCTCTACACCAATAATTGAGCTTTAATGAGAAAAAAAAAACCAATTAAAAGAGCAGCACCGAAAACAATACAATCGCAATTGCAATGCTGTTGATAGAATTCAAAGCAAACACGCATGAATGTGTGTGTGTGTACATGTATACAGAAATTCAGAAAATACAGCAGCTATGCTGCTAACACGTGCGCACATAACTTTTTTGTTTCTTAACCGATCTTAATGAAATTTTCGACAGTACATCTTATTGTCGAATAGTATAAAGAATATTTCTGTTTTCTCGAAAATTCAATTGCATATAAATTGTGGCTTAAATTGACGGGCAATACAATTTGGATAATTAACTTGATTTATAGCTTTGAGGTGGTAGCGGGGAGGTGGCGATAGGTATAAAATGAAAGATACCTGACATATACTATTCTAGAAGCTACATGTCAAGTTTGGTGACTCAAGCTCATATTATTTGCCGAAATTGCTCAAAAAACAGGATTTCGATATCGATTTTTATCTATTACTTCGAAGCGGGGCAAGTTATACAAACTCGATCTGCGCGTGCATTAGGAGTACCTACAGCTAAAATGTTAAGTCTCTAGCTCTTAAAGGTTCTGATATCCTTGCGTTCATACATACGGACGGACGGACAGACAGAAAGACAGAGGCACATGACTAGATCGACTCGGCTATTGATGCTGATCAAGAATATATATACTTTATGGGGTCGGAGATGCTTCCTTCTGCCTGTTACATACATTTGCACAAATACAATATACCCCGTTTACCCATTTTTAATGGGTTCAGGGTATAAAAATTACTGTGACCGACAAAAGCAACGTAGTTTACTACATACCATGTGACGGGGAAAATAACAAGTGCAATGGTTTTTACATAGGCACAACTAAATCCAAACTAAAAATAAAAGGGTTAGTCAAAATAAATCAGATTTCAAATTAAGACATCAAAATAATATACAAACAAGTAAGAAGTTCTAGTTGGGAGCTCCCGACTAGGGGATATCCTGAACCCTCTTATTCCAACACCAATGCAGATCGCGCTACGCGCTTGTTTGCTTTAGTTATAAAGTAATAAAGATAAATTTAACAAAAAACAAAAAATTTCCCTTGACAGGGTCCTTCCTTATGTATCTTTGGTAGTCCATACATCCTCGGAGGTACCGCTGTTGTTGTAGTCATCTTATTTTTTGATTTTTGATTGCCGACTTTTTTATACTGATTTTACAAAGATTTATGAAAAAATAAACTATTTAAGACGGTTTGGAGCTGTTGATAATAAATTGTGTACAGTGATTCGTAATCATTTAAATAAAACAGGACATTATCGATAAATATAGTTTTCGGCCGTTAATATTTAGTGTGTATGTGCATGTGCAAGTGTGAGATAGACTCGCATTAGGAATCGTATTTGTGTGAATGCCACTCTAACAGCTGGTGTTGTGTCCCCACCGACCAATTTAATCTTCCAAACAGTATAATCATTGTGTGACTATTGAATTGCGCCCGTAAATTCATATCCATTGTATGTATGCATTTATGTTTATACATAGTGTGATTGCGTTTTGAATTAGCTGCTGCTTTAGACGGGGCTTGTGCCTATTTTGCATCTTGCTCAGAATCCTGATTATACCTTGAACCCATTGACAATGGGTAAAAAGGGTATAATGTATTTGTGACAGAAAAAGAGGTAGCATTACCGACCCCATAAAGTACATCTATTCTTGATCTGCATCAATACCCGAGTCGATCTAGCCATGTTCGTCTGTCTGTCCGTGTGTATGATCGCCAGGATTTTAGAACCTATAAGAGCTGGAGTGCCCACGCAGAACGAGCTTCTTTCCGATATTCGATAAGTTGCTCCGTTTCCAAGTAATCGATAATAATCGACATCTAAATCCTGTTTTTTTTTTATTTAGGAATTTTGGTAAATAATAAGAGCTAGAGTCACCAAACTTGACATGTACCTTCATTAATGTTTTATTTATATCAAGTATCTTTCATTTTATAGCACTCACCACCTCCCAGCGACTACCTCATAGATATAAACCTCATAGATATAAACGTAGTAGAGGCTTGATTATTACTGGATATTCTAATACCTATCGTCATACTTAATTCGTCTCAGAATGTTTCCATGGACGCTTTATTATGTTTTATTGGTTATTTATGTTAATAATTAAATTAAAAATATTTATTTCTTACTCGGTTCATTAATACTGCACGTCGGATTTCACGCACACCATCGTAAACCAAACGGGAGGCATCAATAAAGTCATTTTCGTCGACATTTTTGTTGCTATTTGCTGAAAGAGCTTCTACTGCAGCATCAACTCGTTGTTCAAATTTTATCATTACTGAAAAACAAAAAATTATATAAAATGCTTATGTAAAGATAGTTCGTAATTCCTATGGGCACTTAGATTAGGAAATTTATATATAGCAAATAGAACAAGAGGTTCTAGTCGGGAGCTCCAGAATAGGGGATACCCTGAACCCTCTTATTCCAACACCAAATGCAGCTCCCACTACGCGCTCGTTTGCTTTAGTAGTAATTAAGATAAATTAAACCAAAACCAAAAGTACCCTTGTCAGGGCTCGAACTCGCAACTGACCGCATTACTTGCTGCCGCCTCTAAGCAACAGCCACACCAGCCAAATAAAAAAATTATATTTACAATCGAAACTGCAATGCTGTTGATAGAATTCAAAGCAGACGCGCATGAATGTTTGTGTGTACATGTATACAGAAGTTCTTGGAATTTGCGCTTGCTGCTGCAAACACGTGGGCCGCATAAAACACATTTTCCTTTGTGTTTCTTAACCGATCTTGATGAAATTTTCAGCAGTAGATCCTATTGTACTATAAAATATTCGTGTAATCTCAAAATGACAATTGCATTTAAGTTGTGGCTTAAATTGATGGGCAATACAAGTTGGTTTGCGAACATGATTTATAGCTTTGTTGTGGTAGCGGGGAGGTGGCGGTAGCTATAAAATGAAAGATACTTGATATATATATACTATTCTAGAAGCTACATGTCAAGTTTGGTGTCTCTTATTATTTACAAAAATTGGTCAAAAAACAGGATATTAATATCGATTACGTGGAAACGGGAAAGTTATCAAATATCGGAAACAAACTCGATCTGCTCATGGACTAGGAGGACTTACAGAGGAAATTGCACATCTCTAGCTCTTATAGGTTCTGAGATCCTTGCGTTCATACATACGGACAGACGAACAGACTGACGGACATGGCTGGATCGACTCGGCTGTTGATGCTGATCAAGAATATATATACTTGAAGGGGTCGGCGATGCTTCCTTCTGCCTGTTACATTTGCACAAATACATTATACCCTTTTTACCCATTTTTAATGGGTTCAGGGTATAAAAAATTGTAACAGCAGCAATAATTGTTGAGCGCACGCTGAAGAGATAAATTTTGGAAAATATAAATCAAGACCAAAATAATTTTATTGCAGACAATGTTGTGTTTGCAGCCAGTACGATTCTTGTTATTAGTGAGGACGAGGTCAGGAAGTAAATTAGAAGAAAATAACAAAATGTCTTAAGCGACCTGATTTTGTGTAAGCTAAGTTTTAAGGTAGTTAGTTGCAGCAAAAAGGTTTAAACACCAAAAGTAACCAGCTTGTCTGTATAGCTACTTTAAAGAGCTCCCGGCTCTCCCATCAGTAACCTATCAACTTACTCTAGATATATAAGCCCTAGTCCGAAGTATAAATCACTTGAGAATTATAAGCAACAAAAAGTTGACCAAGCTAACCCAAAGACTACTTTACATTTAACCACTGTGTTTGCGAAAGAAAACCGCCCTTTATGAACAAAACAATGCCTTAGAATATTTTTCGTTTACAGTGTGCGAAAAAAGGACAATATAGTGAACAGAACAACATAACCTACGTTTTTTTAATAGAGCATAGGATTCTTCTGATCCTTTGTTATCTAGTCGCTGATTAGATAAACGACAAAAATGAAACAAACAGAGAAAAATTCCGAAAGAATTGGTAAATAAATTTAATCGAAGATGAAAATGGCTTTTTAGAAAAAAAAGATGACGAACGAGTCTGTTTTGAATTGAATATTGATTTGGAACATGAAGAGAACTAGGCTAAATTTAAAATAGGTGTGTTGTGAAATGACTTATTATTAAAAAAAAAAAATGAATACTACATAAATATAATTTTGTAATGGCTGGATCATATACATATATCTCTATATGTAAAACTGTTTGTTCTGTCTGACTGGCTGGTGACGAACGCACGGCCCAAACCGTAAGAGCTAGGAGCTGAAATGTTCACTGTATTTACTTTATGTGATGAAGGAGCACGTTAAGGCGGGGTTTCGGGAAATTCCACTTGCATGTGTGGAAAAATCGAAAAAAGGTTTTTGTGCAACTTTGTTGTTTTCCATCCGATCGGCCTCAAACTCATTTTAAAAGATCTTTGTTCAAATTCATTTGCGGGTGTTTCCCACTTTTCGAAAAATGCATTTCTCCTTGACGGAAATGGGGGCCAAAGATTTGGTGATTGACGTTACGTTGTCAAATTTATTTCTAAAGATCTACACGAAAAATCATTTAAGACGAGTTTTACACTTTTCGCAGCATCAAAACTTACTCGGTAGAAAATTCAATTCAAAGATTTTTTGGGCAGAGTTATAAGTTTTGTCCGATTTGCTTCAAACTGATTTTCAAATCTCTACACAAGAACTTAATAAATACGTGCTTCAGCGATTTGGCAAAAGTTTTTTGCTTACCATCCGATAGGCTACAAAGACATTTCCAAAGATCTTTGTCAAAATTCATCTGATGAGTATTTCACACTTTTTGGAAAATGCATCCCTCCTTGCTGGAAATGGGGGTCAAAGATTTGGTGAGTGGCGTTTCGCGTTTAAATTTATTTTCATGGATCTACATTTTTATGTATGATCATAATCATTTGAGACGGATTTCACATTTTTGGCAAAATCACAGCTTTCACGGTGGAAAGTGCAATTCAAGGAATTTTTTGGTTAAGTTTTTAAGTTTTTCTCTTCCCTCCTTGGTGGAAATGGGGGTCAAAAATTCGCCCTCAAATTCATTTCCAAATATCTATATGAAAGTTCATTTGAGACGTGATTTTCACTTTTCGCAGAATCTAAAATCCTTCGATAGAAATGCGATTCAAAGATTTTTTTGATGAAGTTTTAAGTTATGTGCAATTTGCTTCAAACTTATTTTCAAAGCTCTGCATAAGGACTTAATGTATACGTGTTTCAATGATTTGGGAAATTCCACCTACAACAGTGGTTAATTAGCGAAAAACTTTTGCATGAAAGTTTTTTTTTTTTACCGTCCAATCAGATTACAAATTATTTTCAAAGCCTTTTGAGTAAATTTACTTTAAACGTGCCACGGGCAAGGCCGGGTTATACCCGCTAGTATATATATATATATATAGATATTTATATATATATAGATATATTTGTAGCGGGTATAACCCCACCTTGCCCGTGGTACGTATAAAATAAATACGAATACAAATTTTTTTGTATCTTTATATCTTTTTGTATATACATATATATATATAAATATGTATATATATATACTCAATACTTTATTGAATATCACTCTTTCACCATAGAATTTGTCGTGGTGTATCCAAAAAAAATTTGGAAACTGAATTTCTTAGTTTAAAAATTAAAAATGTGTTGATATGATAATTTAAAGAGCCTAGAAATAACAATTAATAACACCCCTAGTTGGAAGGTTCATATCAACAAAATCAGTAGCTTTGGTCAGACCTATGAATTATTGAAATTACAACTACTATGAGGTTTTAATAGCGAAAACCTGCATTGTGTAAATGTTAATGTATATAATATAACTATTTAGTGCTTCAGATACAGCAATTTTGCATAAGCCTCAAACTATTTTATTAATATTACTTGACATGTTTTTAGCTTACAGAGAAATTTTTGTATAGAATATACAATCTCACACTCCTTGATTTGCTTTGATTTGTTTGATCTCGTCGGACCTACAATTTTATAATAAACTGGCAAGCTTCTATAGGCAATTGAGCATGCTGTTCGAATATGTATTCTAATCCCGCAATAATAGAAATGACTCTCAAATCACACCTGCAACGTTGATATTTAATTGATGAAATGAATTAGTTAATTAATTGATTTTATATTAAAGTGTAAATGTAGTCAACTGCATGTTAGTATATATAAGACAGGTTAAATAAGTCATTAAATATTACATTTTTATGTTAGTGACCGGTGCCTCAATTATAAGTTTTTCCTTGTTTGTGTAATTTAGATTCATACATAAACAAATGCGTTTAAAGTGCGCACATTCATCTATGAAAAGGAGGGTCAAATATTTGGTAGGCGAAGTTTCGTTTAAAAATGAATTTTTTACGATCTTTATGTAAGCCGATTTAAGATGTGTTTTACTCTGTCAGCCAATTACACCCCTCCTGAGTGAAAATGGGGCAGAGATTTTTTGGTAAAGTTTCAAGTTTCGCCCGATCACCTTCAAACTTACTTTCAACGCTCTACATAAATCCCTAATAAAAACGTGTTTCAGCGAATTTCCACCCGTATATATGCAAAAACTAAGACCGTACAAAGTTAATATACATATATGAAAAAAATGCATATAATTATCTCGTTTTAAAAAATATTTTCTCTGAATAAAATATTTTGTATTCTGTCGTCACGGGGGTGACATACCTAAATGTTGTGCAAGCATTGTTATTGAAAAAACAGCCAAATCAAACGAAAATCTGTAATTAAGAATAACTCAACTTACTACGAGCCATGCATTTTCCCTTTTTTTTTTGTTAAAATCTGTCGTTTGTTTATTTAAAGCTCATAAATCAATTCTATCAAACTAAATCATTACGTTTCGTTCACAAAATAAACAAATGATTCTTTATGCCTTTATAACTTTGAGGATACTTCTGCCCAACTTGGAGGTCAAATTTTCCAGCTTCGGAGCTTTAATAGGTTTTGGATGTCTGTCGATCACCAACTCTTCAGTCATATATATCGATCAGCATATATCGATAAGCCAAATAAGTGACTCAAACAAAAGTGATCGAGGTGGAATTGCCCGACTAGGGGATACCTTTACCTTGTTTTTCTAACTATATGTGATCGATTGCCTTGGCTTTATGGTTTTTATTTTTTTTTAGTAAAGGAATATACTAGCATCAATAAAAAAAATATTAAAAAAAAAAAACGTTAGTTTCCCTGCCGGTATCGACTTCGTAACTAATTTTAACCGACCAAATAACGTGCATTCGCTCCAAACATCACAGCAAACATCACCAAGTTTTAAC